TTTATAGCAATAAAAATAACAATTGAGTAGATGAACAACACCGATTCTGGCCCACTTTAAGGTCGTGTGTCTCTGGTAAGTGTTTCAGAGAGAAACTTTAGTGAGTGGAAGAGAGAAACGTGTGACGTCATCGACGCAGGATGGAATGAGTATCGTAGCGATTCAAGCGTGAACCCCCTTGCCCCTCGGCCCCCTTAGTACTTCGCATCACCCATCGGCCCCCCTTGGGACTCCGCATCACCCCTCGGGCCCCCTCGTCACGTGATTCTAATTAAAAAAGAGTTTGGATTTATGAGAATCAAACCCGAGTTGACCGCGTGGTAGACACTGTCCTTAACCTCTACACCAATGTAAGACATTGGAAGTAATTGCGAATGATGGGTATCTATAGCGTTAGTTTTGTCTGGACCGAAATTGACCGCATTTTTTATTTCCGTGCGTGCGTGCGTGCGTGCGTGTGTGTGTGTGTGTGTGTGTGTGTGTGTGGGTATAAGTGTAAGAGAAACGTGATGCAGTCTCCCAGAAAGCTATGAAAATCTGGTAACAGCATTAGAAGGAAGAGCAGAGTGTGATTTGACTCTAGAAATGGTAAAAGGCAAATTAGTACAGGAGTATCATAGGCGGAAGGAGAATTCCACATCAACTAGTGAAATGGCTCTAAAAGTTTACAAGAAAGGGTCTGTTAAAAAGGCATTCGAGCACTGCAACTCGAAAAATGTGATGTCATTTCTGTAAGAAAATGGGACATATGAAGAAAGATTGTTTTTATTATAAGAAATCGAAAAGACAATCAAATAATGAAGAAACTGAAGAAAACACTCATGTTTGCTTTAACGTTAGTGATAAAGCTCAAGCCAAAGAAATCTTTGATTGAAATCTATGATTTGGTCATACTGATGTTTGTGGTCCCATGCGTACTATAACTCCTGGAGGAAAGAAGTATATACTCACCTTCATAGACGATTATAGTAGATATTCCATTATTTATCTTCTCAGTCAGAAATCCGAAGTATCAGAGAAACTTCAAGATTACGTCAGGATGGTCGAAAATAAATTCGGCAGAAAACCAAAAATCATCAGATCTGACAGAGGAGGCGAGTATATGAACACAGAAGTTAGGAATTTCCTGAAAAATGAAGGTATAGAAATGCAACTCACGGCGCCATTTTCAAGTCAGCAGAATGGTGTAGCTGAACGAAAGAATAGATATTTAACAGAGATGGTCAGGTGCATGTTAATTGATGCTGATCTACCAAATACTTATTGGGGCGAAGCAACCATGACAGCAAATTTACTTGAAAATTTGGTTCTGACAAGGTCAACCAATAGGATCCCCTTTGAAGTATGGCACGGGAAGAAACCAAATGTAAATCACATCAAAACCTTTGGCAGTATTGTTTATGCACATATCCCTAAAGAAAAACGCCATAAATTAAGTGAAAAGGCAAAGAAATTCGTATTAGTTGGTTACGAAGCTGGTTCCAAAGCATATAGACTTCCTGACAGAACCACTGGAAAAATCACCATTAGCAGAGATGTACATATTTTAGAAGAAGCTCATAGCGGATTTCATCAAATGAACGAGTTTCGAAACACTAAAAATAGAAGTGATTCTGAATGTCAAAATGACAACAGTGAAGTTGAAATATAATTTTGTCAAAAATCTACAACTTCTGATGGAAATATTCATGTAAACGCCGAATTTCCAACAGAAAATATTGAAGAATACTCTGCAGAAATGACTGATGAAGAGACTGGTATCCAGAAAGTTGAAGAAAGTGTAACCTCGAAAGAAAGTAATGCGGAAATCCAAGATGAAGTTCACGGTTTGAGAAGATCACAAAGAATAAATAAAGGTGTTCCAGCCAAGAAATATTCTGAAGAATTTTCAGTGGAAAACATTCAAAAATTCATCATTGTTGAGAAAGGGTGTTGGAGATTAACAACAAAAATGAATTTGAGCCACATTATATTTATATATTTTTGATTCGATGTTTCTATGGTTGTATGTTGATATATATTGTCAAGTTTAGTTGTTATATTTTACTAGAAATAAAAATTATAAAAAGTCTCCATAAAGTTCTCATCATAAATATAAAGTATCTTCAAATATTTTTAACGTTGCGATCCCTCAATGTGTACAAGGTATTTCAAAATACATAATTGAAAACAAACATGGCGTCGAAGTGTACAGGGTGCGTCAAAATATATCAATTAAAAAAAAAAACATGTCGGTTTAAAATATGATATCAATGTGTTTACGGGGCGTTTCAAAATACATTATTTAAGGAAAAACATGTCGGTTTAGCAGAAGTCTAGCATTCCAACATGTCAGAAAGACACTAAGTCTCGTATCTTTGTTAACCAAATTAGCATCATCAGGAGAAGAAGGAGACTGCACCAAAGTTGTCGAGGAGTTATGTTTTGTGGAGTTGACATTCGAAAATGGGGACAACAAAGTATTGAACCGTTTTACAAGCATTTCGACCGTTTTTTGTGCGACCGTTTCGCGTGCGTTTCGACCGTTTTTCGTGCGTTTTCGACCGTTTTTCGTACGTTTTCGATCGTTTTGCGTGCGTTTTTGACCGTTTTGTGTGCATTTTCATCCGTTTTGCGTGAGTTCATTCATTATAGTTTCATCGTTATTGTCGTAACCGTTTTCGTGTTTCAATATGACAGTCATTTATCACTTAACGCGTTTCGCTAACCAAGTAAGCATAATCAGGAAATGACTAATGTCCATGCTTGTTCGTATGAAGATTCAGTTTGCGAATTTTCAGACTCCTGAACGGAACCTTGTGGAACACTCAACCTAACTTCTGTTACAGAGTGGTGTCGGTCACCCAATCAAAATGGAGGAATCAAATATCGCTCAATTGATTGTGTTCGATTCTCATAACTATAAACTTTATTTTAATTAGAAGAACATGACAAGGGGGCCCGAGGGGTGATACGGAGTCCTAAGGGGGGCCGATTGGTGATGCGGTGTACTGAGGGGGCCGAGGGGCAACAGGGTTCACGCTTGAATCGCTATGATACTCATTCCATCCTGCGTCGATGACTTCACACGTTTCTCTTTTCCTCTCACTAAAGTTTCTTTCTGAAACACTTACCAGCGACGCACGACCTTGAAGTGGGGGAGAATCGGTGTTGTTCATCCACTCAATTGTATAGATTTTTCACTAATCAATGTCATTGTGAATAGGGTATCGTTAATGTTCATTTCAATTCAAAAGGGGATTCCCCGTACTATAGATTGACATATCTATAGTACGGGGCCTATATTACAATCTTTAGTACGGAGAATCCCCTCTGCATCATAGATATTATAATTAAATATACTCAAAGTAAAGAATCATCATAATATGAAGTAAATGTTACAAACTGTGGTATGTTCGAAAAAGTTTATATACCTGCCGTTACATTTTTTTATCTCAAACTATGAACACACAATTCAATTATAATAATTTATTTTAGTTTTTGCTATTTTTCAGTTAGGGCTTTGTGATTTAAAACAGATTTTATACCTCCCTCTCAAATTCCGTTCCCCTCGCCCGATCACATTCCGAAACGCTATCGTCACGCATTCACCAGCTTACTTATTCCTTCCCAAGTCAAGAGCGCGTAAAAAAGTTTTACTTCAAAAAATTCGAAAGACTCACCTGTGAGTGGGTTTTGTACTACACATTTTAAGAATCTCAAATAGGAATTAACATAAGTACCTCACTTTTAAAATGTCAGTACAACATAGGTAACATGGAGAAAAAAGTTTTTCGACTTTCACTTCTTCATCTTCATACAAAAAATTGTGCGGAACTTTCAAAGGAAGGAAGGAAGAGAACAATTGAGTTCAAAATAAACTCTTCTGAAAGATGTGTAGATCATGCATAGAAATTACTTTCACTTGCAGATTGGAAGAAAAAGCCCCCTCTAAACAACTACTTCATATAAACAATGAATTACATGAAAGAAGAAATGCTTTCGAAACAGGTACTATCATCGGGAGCAATACAATAGTCGAGGAAAATTTACGAGGACTCTCGCCCTTCTCGAGTTATACGGATATTTGTAATAAAAAAGACAGGTCCTTATTTAAAAAATAAGTTGATGGTGGCCATGTTGACACGAAACGTTTTATCGAATATTTATTATTACATCGTCATAGTACACTTCGAATACAATAACATTTTCCTTTTCCATTTTTTTATATTCTCCGAAATAACAATTCCATTCGAAAAAAACGAAAAACTGTATTTCTGGTTTTCTCCGTATAACTCGAGAAGGGCGGGAGTTATCGAAAATTTTCTTCGACCATTGTATTGTTCCCGATGACAGTTACCTTTTTTCCTATTTAATCGTCTTCGTATCTGTTACGGTTCAGAAAATAGCAATGTTACCACATGATAAAAGAAACGGCCTGTATAGTATATGAGAGAGTTACGATATGAAATTTCACTTAGATGGAGCACTGTCATCTTAAATGGTAGACTTCTGAGTTTCGGGATGACACACTTATTTTGTTACCTCATCAACACCTTTCTAGTTAATATTACAAGATGAAGCACTCATCTCAATGATAACATTATGACTTTATGTCTCAGATGGGAAAAATCTACTTATGTCACGATGATAGTACGTAAAGACATTCATACGCTTATTTCATTCAATACCAGCTATAGGAATCTTGTTTGAATTGATAGGGTTATTTTTTGTATAATGATGAAGAAGTGAAAGCAAACACATTTTTTTTGTCCAATAACTAATTTCTTTAAATTAAAAAAAATACCCCTTTCAATTCAAACAGCTTGTTGGACAAGCAGCATGTTGGACTGGAACACTGAATGAGTTAATTCAGTGTACAGCCACAGTCTGCAAAGAATGAATAGATCTTATAACTACAAATAAACTGAGCATCCGCCAGAAATAATTCAAGAACTCCTGACAATCTCAGAATAGTAATTGTCATAATCTAGTGTCAACCAAGAAATAATTGTACGTACCCAGTATTTCAGCGGAGCCTTTAAAAAAACAATGCGAGTATCTAGCTGACCATTTTTTTTCATTAATTCCATGCTTATATATCCAACTTTCTCGATTAACTCCAATAGTACTCGCGAAATATATGCCAGTGAGTCGTGGTATTAAAAATTGGAAACAAGACAGCCAATGAATCACCAAAAATGTCACCAAACTTGCAGATATAATAAAGACAGCTCCTCTACTTCTGATTTGCAAATACTGAAAAATTATATTCGATTACCGTATTGCACTCAGAAGGCAGGACCGGATTACACATAACGCGATTGCCTAGGACTACAAAGGGTGTCTTACGACGGCGTCATCTTTGGGTGATGAGGCGATGAGATATTTGAATGTAAAAACACCAATCCTTCATTTTTGTGGTCATTTTCATTCAAACTACTCTGAGTATAATTAGTGACAAGTGCCCAGTTTATCTTGTTACGATTTGTTTTTTTTTTTCGTTAACCAGAAGTCTTACTTTCTAACATGTGATTCCTAACACAGGTTAGACGATAGGAAATGAAAATCGATCGTCCAGCCTTGCGGTTCGAATCACCGATTCGCACATCGGTTGATTGACTGAGTGGTGCTGACCACAGACTTGCTGGATTCTGTTTGTTGCACTAAAAGTCCAAAATGCATATAGTACTCGTATGCTCGATTCATGTTCCATAAAATGATTCACTTGTACGAATAGATTATATATTTTCACATCTATTTTTATACATAAAGTAAGTGAGCATACTTGGAGACTGGTTATAAATCAAATTATCTACAAGAACAATTCATTCAGGCCAGTCTCGACTTACTTACACTGTACGTTAATGGACTAACACCTATCAGAAAACAACTACTCCCCTAGCTAATACCACGAATGGCGTTGGATTATATTCGATAGGTGTCAGTGCAGGATTCTACACTGAAGTTGTTCCTTCAAATGTTGTTAGAGATACTACTTCCGGAATCGATTTTCAATTATTGTAACACACTTGCAGACCTGTTTTGGGCTGTTTGGCCACTTGTCAGTGTCAACATGATGATTTCCCACAATGGCCCAAAAACAAAGTTTCGATTCGAGTATTTCAATAAGATTCTAGATTTTTAACAAATTATCACATAATTGCTCTTTTTTTTTACTGATATAGTGACAACTGCATAACAGTGAAACTACTTGCCCGAAGGCATGCCCGATGGCTTTACTAATCATACCTTGATAAAATTTACTTTGAAAGAAAAAAACTGGACATGCATTATTTCATAATAATGAACATATGGCGTGGATGAGAAAAAGGTGTTTTTATATATGGCTTATTTGACAAAAAATTAGCATTTTTTGTTGAATTTATACACCATATTCTCTTCTTCGATTGACGACTTGTTTATTTTGCGGAAATTCATGTTCACTGAGGATACACTACAAAAACACACTTTTGTCTATTTTCCACTATATTTCTTTATTGTTGACCGGTTTCGGCTATTACACCATTTTCAAAACTAACTGATTACATTTAAATCTGAGTAATTTATACCTATGTTGCTTATTCTATCATAAATTATTTGATATACCTGATATACCTGATACCCGGTACCTGCGTTTCATATTCCTGTAAAATCCAAGAACATAACAAAGCTTTCAATATAATGTAGGTTTTGGGATCTGGATTATAGGTTCAGGAGAGATTTAAATAATAGTCCTCTCCTGATGATAGAATAAGCAACATAGGTATAAATTACTCAGATTTAAATGTAATCAGTTAGTTTTCAAAATGGTGTAATAGCCGAAACCGGTCAACAATAAAGAAATATAGTGGAAAATAGACAAAAGTGTGTTTTGTAGTGTATCCTCAGACACCACATTCTTCTGTATTTTTCAAATCCACTGAGGCTGCCGAGAAATGACTACATTTGTCATTAGTTGATTTATGTGCTTTTTACATTTTATTGATTGCGAAAAAAAAAACAATTCATGACTCGTTTTGTCCAACTATCTAATTTACTGGATGTTTCATGACTGCTTCTAATTTTGAAATATTTTCATCATACAAATGATTGTTCATAACAATTCAATACCCACTGTTATGCCAATGAGCGACGAACTTTGTTGTGTTTGTATTCACCTATGAAAGCTCAAATTTCAGTTAGAACTATTGGATTGCTCACAGACCCAACAAACAGTAAAGCACCATTATTACTCTCCATTATTCTTTCACTATATATAATCCAAATACAACTAGAAAATCACAATTTCATTAAGTATCACCCACGAACAACAATGTCAATATGAACTGGTAAAATTTGTAAAAGTTCTGATAGTTCTACTTGAATACGATAATTTCGGCTCTTATGATTCTTGTGATATTTCTTTCTCCATTGAGGTGAAAAGTTCGCTCTTTGGCTGAAAAATAGTGCAATAAGTGACCCTTTGTCAGGTGAATATTGCATCTTGCGTCACTTGAACAGTGACGTTTGTTTCGTTTTCATCAGTTGTGGACTTAGCCTATAGTACAGTAAAAACCAGTAAAATCTAACTCAATCTATGGTGGGTGCATTTTACTGAATAAATAGATACTGAAGGAGATGGACGAGAAAAAAAACGACATTAACCTCAGAGAGCTGCTGGACGAAATTGTAAAAAGTAAAACTGTAGTGGAACAAACAATTATTGCAGAAAGTATGAAACTAATAATTGAAGTTAGTGAAACACGTATACTTATCAAAATAGAATTCATGAGCAAAACCAATAACTTATTGGAAAAAGAAAACAAAGAACTAAAAATAAACTTGAAACTCTAGGAAGGAACAAAAAAGTAAACAACTTTGTTGTATTTAGCCTCAACAAACCTTCGAAAAAGAGATCACTTCAATTCATTTGTGAAGAAATGACACCTTCTAGACATTGACCTAAAGGAAGCAGATATAAATAACTCACTCAGACGACAGTTCCCTTAAAATAGAACTTGAAAAGGAAACTTTTATTCTAAAACTGCTACAAATTAAAAGGCACCCAAGACAGACAGCCAAAAATTCAAAGAAACCATACATCAAAGGAAGTAAACTAGTAATCGATAATAAAAAATATACCGTGAAGGAATTAGAATCATTAATCTTAGTTTATTGATACCATGACTGTTTTTTTTGTTCCTATTTTATAATTTGAACTAACCAACTGTTAATTGAATATGGATCCATTTATAAGAAATTATAACCCCAATTTGATAGATGCACAAATTATTACAAATTTAAAAGAATTCAAAACAGTTTCCCCTGCAAAATTTAATATCCTCAATACCAATATTCGAAGTATTCGCAAAAATATATATGAACTATCAGTTCAGAGTTAGGATCTGAAATCGGTATTACAATACTGTCAGATGGTGTATGATCTTCAACTAATCGAAATGGCGGGATATCATGCTTTTTATAATGGGAGTTAGCTCAATAAGAATTATGAAGTGATCGCCTATTTACGGAAAGACCTAGAGTTTTCATATAATATTAAGAATATTGGAGAGCAAAAGGCAATCGAGCTAAAAACACGAATAGACAATCATCGAAAAATAGTAACGAGTATTTACAGATCCCCAAACACCTGCCCAAATAACTTCATTGCCGAACTATTGAATTACACAAATACTTCTGAAAAAAATTTATTTTCGCATTATAACGGAAGACTTGAATATTGATGTGTTAGCTGACATCTATGTAGAAGAATATAAGAACATATTATATGTACATGTTTTTCTCTCATATATTAACAATGTCACATGTCCGGAGAGCAAAAATTGCATTGATCACTTCTTTGTGTAAAACGTTAATGATGAAATAGTAATTTATATCTGAAACAAACATAACAGATCATTACCCAATTGGTTTAACTATTCCGAAACTATACACAGCTTTGATTCTAACCCTGAAGGAAGGCAATACAAAAAATGTATCAAATATGATAGTTTGAGACTTCGATTGCAAGGAGAACGCTGGACGGATGTACACAATGCAGAATATTCAAACATAAAAATAGAAGAATGTATTAATGAAATCAAGCAACACATAGGAAATAATACGCGATTGGTCAAGATCAGAACTCAATAAACAAGAAGAAATAGATCACACCTGCAATATACGAAACCACTAGAACAAAAATGTATGAAGATTTAATCAAAAAAACCAAAATCAAACTCCGAGGGAATAATACCATTCGTAGTAAGTAAATCAACAAAATATTAGCAAAGAAAGAGAACTCAAAAAAGATCATAGGCGCAAATACTTGAATGGGGGTCTGGAAGTGAGCTCTGTTACGTCAGCAACGCAAAGTAAGGAAATTGCATTTAGGAAATGCCAAAATTAGGTACTTTTTAGGTGCTTTTCAGGTACCGAAGTCAAAAATTACGTGCTCTGTAACTTACACCGCAACTGAATACTCAAAGTTGCGTTGCTAGCAGTATGTGATGCTAGCAACGCAATGAAAATAATAATAAAATAATGAATGTTAAGGGAACACTATTAGATGCTAATTAAGTCCTAAACGGTGAGGATTGTAAAATGTTCTAATCAATAAACAAAAACTTCCAATTTCGCTAAACAACAGATCTAAGAATCAGGTCTCTCGAAAACGAGGATGAATGCTCTATCAGGTATAAACTAAGCCTGGCAATAAAGTGCTGCAAGAAATTATACAAGAAATTAAGATGAAAACGACCGCGAATAAGTGAAAAAAAAAATCGAGATACCTGATTTGAGAAAACAAATTAAGCTAATACATAGACAATCAAAATAGTTAAGTGCTCACTAGATAAATAATAGTAAACCTAGCATAATGCTTATGGGGCATTATGGAAAACCACTATGACTGATGGACTGAGTTCTTACAGTATGTTCCTCGATAAGTAAGGGTATGAGAATGAAGTGCTGATTAGGTGCTCATTATATATTTATAGTAAATCTAGATTCCATAATTCATATGGGGCTTATGGACCCGAAAACCACCATGGACCCGATAACCACCATAAGCCCCATATGAATTTTGGAATCTAGATTTACTATAAATATCTAATGAGCACCTGATTAGCACTTTATTCTCATACCCTTACTTATCGAGGAACGTACTGTAAGAACTCAGTCCATCAGTCATAGTGGTTTAATGCCCCACAGGCATTATGGAATCTAGGTTTACTATTATTTATCCAGTGAGCACTTAATTAGCACTTTATTTTGATTAACTATGTATTAGTTTACGAGTATCTCAAGATTTTATTGCATATTGTTAATTTATTTTCTCAAATCGGGTATCTCGATTTTTTTTTCACTTCTTCGCGGTTGTTTTCATCTTAATTTCTTGCAAGCACCTAATTAGCAGTTCATTACCACGCTTAGTTTGTACCTGGTAGAACATTCGTCCTCGTTTTCGAGAGACCTGATTCTTAGATCTATTGTTTAACGAAACTGGAAGCTTTTGTTTATCAATTAGGAAATTTTACGATCCTCACCGTTTAGCACTTAATTAGCACCTAATAGTGTTTCCTTAAAATTCATTATTTCATTATTATTTTCATTGGGTAACATACTGTTAGCAACGCAATTTTGAGTATTGAGTTGCGGTGTAATATAGAGCACGTAATTTTTCACTTCGGTACCTAAAAAGCACCTAAAAAGTACCTAATTTTGGCATTTTCTAAATGCGATTTCCGTACTTTACGTTGCTCGCGTAACAGAGCTCTGGAAGTGTGTGAAAGAAATTTGCAACAAATCCAGGACGAAAACACATTTAAAAATTTAAATTAGACGTAATAAGAGAAAGAAAACATATTGCAGATTAATTCAACCAACACTACACTACGTTGGGTAAATAATTTCAATGAACCAGGAGAACGATTGCGAAACACCATGTGTCTCTATGACACATACGAAAATGAAGTCCCGAAAATGATCATGGAACTAAAACCTCTGAGACTCTGAAGGAGATATCCATTGAAATAAAACAACCACCGACAAATCTTATGAAGAGATGTTTACATACAGGATGTTTTCTAAAATTACTGAAGATTGGACTATAAAATTATTATTCAAGGGTGGAGATTAGCTGAAAATATTCAATTATAGACCAGACACTTGTTTCCAACTTGGCTGAAATAATGGTAAAAATAATTAAATTGAGAATAGTGAGGTTTTTGAGTAACTAGGTTCTTTCATGCTCCCAATATGGTTTCAGATAAGGTAAATCAACAAAAGATGCAACTCACAATTCAACATCCAGAATATATGAGGCTATCGGTAGAAAAAACGTCCCTAGGCATTTTTGTAGATTCATCGAAAGCATTACACACTGTCTGTCATGAAAAATGTTGAGTAAATTAGAAAACTACGGGATGAGAGAGACTGTATACAAGTTAGTGAAAGACTATCTAACCGAGAGCAGAGTGTCAGCATAGGTGGTATTATGAGTAATTCTATGACTGTTACACAGGGTGTACCCCACGGGACGATACTAGCCCCCTTTTATTCATTATCAACATGAACAGTATTTTTAGTGTGAATACAGAGAGTAGTATTATGAGCTTTGCTGATGACACCGCCATCTTCTACCAGTTGGACTCGTGGACTAATTCAAAAAGGATGGTCGAAATCGATTTTGACAAAAATAGTGGATGGTTCAGATATAACAAGCTCACCTTCAACTTAGAAAAATCAAATAGCTACATTCATCATACTTACCTAATATAGGGCCATTAGAATTCGGAAAAAATGGCGAAATTCCAGAAGACATCCCGATAAAATACCTGGGCGTTTTTATTGGTAGGTGTATGAGATGGGATCTCCAAATTCAAAGACTAAACTAATAGTTATATAGATTTATATATTTGAAAGATATAAAACGCCTCAAAATAGTATACCACGCTTTAGGTCATTAAATATTGCCTTAAGGAATTATAGGATGGGGAGATGTGAGTGACTATTACCTCAAGAACTTTGTTATCCAAAAGTGAATACTGAAAATAATTTTCGGTAAAAAAGCCACATACTCGAGTGAAAACATATTCAAAGAGTCTCAAGTACTGGATGTTACAGATTTTCGGTTTCAATATCTTAAGCAATGCACGAAAAAAAAATTTTTACCGAAGCTGTCGATCACAAATATAATATAAGGAGGAGACAAAATAAGCTAATCAGATTAAAAAAACAATAGGACAACGATGTGCAAACTATCATGGACCTCGACTTCACAACATGGTACCGGAAACCATCAACAAATACATTCTCCTACTAAAATAAAACTTTGGATTACGCTTAACGAAAGGACCTTCCATGATGCGGTGAATCAAAACTTTCAAAAAGCTTGGACTTAGAAATACAAGATAAACATTATATATATTTTACAAACCACTCTCCCAATTGTGAAACGAAATCGTTGTAATAAAAAATACACAGCACAACTGAATATGACAATTCACCCAAATATGACAACATACACAACTATGACAACTGTTGGAAACGGAAATTGTTCGTCCTTTATGCAGCCTTTCACCGGAGAGGTTGTCAGGTGAATAAGTTTGTTATGGAGATTTTTTAGAATCGTTATAATTAAATTTTTGAACTGTGAGATTATTTTTCCGAAAACTTAATATCTAGTTTATTTGCATTCGTATCACACCTAACATTTTCCCATTTCTTACATTAATGACGACCGTGGAATATTCTAACGTACTTCAGAAGACAAGGATTTTTCTCTGGCGAATGCTTGAAAAGGACCACATGCAAGATCTCGAAACTATTTTGAGCGATGTTGGTTTGAAAAAGGGAGAACTTGCAGCTTTATTGAATCAAATAAAAGATAGGGGCCAAAGGGATGAACAAATTTAACCAGAACTATTCAAAGTAAACGCTGACGATGAAGAAATTGAACAGGAGTTATCATCGTCAGAATATTATCGTATCGAGTTCATCAGAGGCAATGTACCCAACGACCAGAATAAATCGACAGTTTCATCAAGTATTAATGAAAAATAAGCGCCAAAGAGAAATTTTCAACTCCCTAGGTTGGAACTGAATAAATTCAATGACGAGGTTAAAAATTGGATAGGCTTCTGGGTTTGCCAGAGATGAGTTTCTTATAGAAGTGTATGGTTGGGAGCTTCTAGGGTTTGTTTTGAATTAATCTTCAAAAAATACTGCAGGTATGTCTCTGTTCAGTTTATTTGAGGTAAGGGCACCCGGTTTACACATGTAAAATTAATTCAAGACAAGTAGATATGGCAACATTGTAAAATTAATTTGACACAATTAGAACGCAGGTATCTAGCAGAGGTATCTATGGTATAAATAAAGACAACATTGTATGTATATTCAGTTTAATATTCCTCTTGAAGATGATCACTTGGGGATTGTAACACGTGTTGAGGTGTTGAAAATAACGGTTTGGTATTGGGATAGAACCCCAGTAATATTTATTACTACACCAAAGGTTCTAAAAAGTTTTTTCTCAATGGGAGGTTTGTTGTCAGTGGCTTAAAGAATATTTGATTCAATTGGATTTACCTGTCTAGTAACTTTGTTGCCAGGAATCATGAAAGTTGAAATTAGGTTGGGATGAAGACTTGCCAGAAAATATAGTTCACCAATTTCAATCGTGGTTCGGACAAATTTCTTGGCTTTGTTTTTGTATTATACCCAGGGCACTTTTTCTTCGAATCCATCTAGGAACACATTTTGCGATGCTTGTAAACTTGCCTATGCCACATGTATATTCATCAAAGCTTAGTTCGAAAATCAGGTGCAGGTACAATTGTTATAAGCCAAATCTAGGATTGCACCTATTAGGGAAATGACACTGCCAAGATTGAGTTGATGGCTTCTGTCTTAGGATCTCGAATATGTCAATCAATAAGAAAAGTGGAATTTTTCAATTCGATGAAAACGTTCTCCTGGTCTGATCACACGGTAACACTTATCTGGATCAAAACAATTTATGGAGTAAGTCGTAAACCACCATATCCTAAAATATTTGGAAGGCTTCAACATCTTGAGCGATCATTGATATGGCTTTCGGAAATAAAGATCAACAGTCGACCTTCTATTGTATGTCACCCATATTTGGAATAACGCAATCAAGAAACATGGAGAATCAAGAGCTGTTGCGCTTGATATATGTAAGGCCTTCGATCGTGTGTGACATGAGGGTTTGCTGGCCAAACTTCGATATTACGGCTTGTCGGATCATTTCTGTGTATGTCCTTCAGCTTCCTGAAAGGACGTTCCCTGCAAGTGGGCGTTACCACGTGAGGAGTTGCAAAAATATTTGAAAATTACAGAAATATTTGAAAAACTAAACGATTTTTAAAGCACATTGTACTAGTTTAGATTCTGAAATGTTTGATGTTGATTATTATTTTATGAAAGATGTCGTCATTCTAAGTTATTGAATGGGACTTATTGGCGATAAAGTTAAGGTCAATGTTGGTGAATATTAAAGAATTATCACGGTTTCTATATAATAACGCCCAACTCGACAGCATGACTTTAGAATGTTCCCGACAGCCGACTTCTCTGAGTAGATAACTGCGTCCATTTTATTTTTACGGTCATGGTCCGACACTATAACTCTAGTCAAATATTTCATGTATGGATAATGATAGAGAATTCCATTCAGAATAAAAAATATAAAGGTCAAATCAAAAGTTTTTCAAATACATACCTGAGAAGTTCGGTGAATTAAATTAATTAATGTGAATATTCTTGAGAATTTCAGAAGAGATAAGACATTTATAACTCCTAAAATTGGTCTGTTTGGAAACTCCACGATGTAATAGGCAAGATTTCTTGGAATTGAAGACAAAACATCACAAATGAAGAAGGGGCTCCACATATAATGCCTGAAAAATAATAAATCATCAATTTACAATTCAGTGACAATTGAAAGTATTTTATAATAATATAATCGACTATCTGATTACCGTCGTTCAGAAGTTATGTTTTGAATCTCGAAGTCGTTTAGTCCGGAGATTCAAACATGTGATTAATGATAAAAAACCTCTGATGAATCGTTGAATTACAAAGTCACACAGAAATAAATAAATCCACTTTGATAACTTTCATAACTTTCGTTTCAACTAATGGTCTTTATTTCCGAAAGCTTAGAGCAACAACAATATCAAAAGATTTTTATCATTTATGGCACTTTTACGGTAATAACGAGACATTGATATTGCCCTACGCTCCGAATTTATTGAAACTATTCATTCCCCACCACCAGGCTTATACAAGCTAATAAGCCCGATGCAGTTCTTTTCAACAAACTGAGTAAGACGATATTCATCATGGAATTTTCAGCTACTGGTGAGGCGAATATCGTCCAAGTAGAGGACTAGGACTAGATAATTCCGTTAACATGGTTGTTCTGACTATTGGAGTCCTTAATGGAATGATGCCCTCTCTAGTCTCGAATCTTGAAGTCATGCCAGCTTGCCGCACGAAGGCAGAAATCTTGACCGATAAAATGCAGAAGGTTGTCATTCCTGGCTCATTATGTCACATGATTCTCGGACCCACTGATCACTCACCTCACGGTTTGAGGCGTGGTCATTGGTTAATAATGCTGGTGCGCCTTTCCGAATGTGTTGGAGCCTCGGAAATAGAGCCCGACCAGCTTACCCTTTGGAAATGGATGAAATCGATAATAATGAGAAGGGATGACCATCAACACTTGAGGCCTTTGGTGAGTTGTCCCACTATTTACCCGAGCAACTGGTGCAAAACCGGAACGGCAGCTCAGGCGCACCCGGGAGCAGGAACACTACGTCCTTCCGGTGCCGGCCGTGGGTATATAGGACTAACCACCCGGTTTGTGGTTTTGATTCCATTATGACGACATGTACTTCATTTGTATCTGTTTCATAAAGTTACAATTAATTTTGTAACCTTTGTTTTGGAATGTTGTAGTCGTTGAGTTCGATGATCCTGTACGCATAGTATTCGTTGAATGAGTTACATATATTAGTTAAATTATCATTTTTGAGTCTTATTTTTAGAATCCATGTTTCAGAGCGCTTCGGAACTATTATAATTTTTCTCGATAGCTCATTGTGAGTACACAATATACAATTGTTATTATGTTACATAATTTGTTTTCAAGTGTAGAGTATTGTTATTTAGAAATTTTATCAAAATGTTATATGATCATAGACATATCATGAGTAGGATACTCAAAGCTCTAAATTTTGGTATTCGCAAGTGCGAAAGAATCTCTCATACCTTGGTTACTACGAAATGGCTATCAATGAGCAATAGGTGGAAACTTCATGGTAGATTGCTTCTACATAAAAGTGATCGTTAATGATACTCCTTCCTATCTCACGAAAAAAATCAGATATAGTACCGAAGTTCATAATCTGAATCTGAGACATTAAAAAATACTCACAATTCCACACCACCTTACTAAACAATTCGAAAAATCACACTCATTCAATTTAATTGAATTATATAATCTTCTTCCTAGAAATTTTAAAACAATGTCAGTGGCCAGGTTTCGTAAACATCTACAGAAAAAACTTTTCGATGAGCAATGCAGCAATATATAATCACCACTGATTTTAGAATATGTTTTCATTTCTTCTCTATTTTCTAGGGATAATTATATGAATATTTTTTAGGAGTTTCTAATTTCTAATCTTCAGCCTTAGTTGATTTTTTTGTTTTGAGTCGCAGGTTCCCGAGGAAGACAAGTCTTGACTGATCGGGCTTCTTTCCTCCATACTGGAGCTTTTTAATTAATTTATTTATTTAATTTTATTTTATGTTATACAGGTATGATTGATAAAAGTTATTATTATTAATATTCCTACCTATTTTCAAGCAATTCTCAAATATTCTGAGATGAAAAAAAGAATCGACGAGGGAAGTGAAAAAAAAGAAGACGGAGAGACGGAAGGAGACGATGAGGAGGATGAGGACATGAAAATTGATGATGCTTCGTCTGATTTATCGCAAAATTTCATTTATAAAATTACACAGGAGCATTTGAAACGATATTTGCCAATTATTATGATTACATTAGACAACAATGAAAATATGACAAGAATATCGACGAAGTGTATGGACTCCTATATGATAACAGTTCACCGCCACAGTTTCTCAGAGGAAAACCGTTAGAATTTCTTCCTGATGGATATATACGAGTTGAAGGATTTTCATTTTCAACCGAACTGCAGGCCTTTGCGAATTGATATTCAGCTTTATCCCTAATTAGAGAAAATATACCGAGACGACTTGGATTCATGGATCTTTGAAGTTAGGTGTGCTTTACATGTCTCCCGTAACCTTACAAGGGAACTCAAATGTAAAACAAATCAGTATGAAAAACTGAAGAAAAGCTGAAAAATTATAGATAGATGGTAAACTGATCTATTCACTAAATATTCCTATAACGTTTTTCTACGATCATAATATGATATGTCTTCCTACCAAAATAAAAATTTTACTCACTTTGCTATTCGGTTGGGGCGAAGTTCAATCCCATGTATCGAACTGGTGTCATATCCGGTCCAAAAGTTGAAGAATATATCTATCCAGCACAGCATGTCCAAAGTAATGGACATTTCTCGATAGCCGTTAAATAAAGTTACACTATTTGCGAAACTAGCATCCACTGGTTTGAACAGCAAAGTAGAAAAATACAACACGATCAAGAACATTTCATACCAAGCCCTGGAATATATAACAGATAAATTAATGGCAAAACAATCATACACGTATAGTCAGTGGGCATACTTGAAGACTGGCTATAAATCACATCATCTAAAAGAACAATTCGTTCAGCCCAGTCTCAACACCCTACACAGTACGTTAATGGACTGACACCTATCAGAATACAACTACTCCACTGGCTAATACCACGAAGGGCGTTGGATTATATCCGACAGGTGTCAGTGCAGGATTCTTCACTGAAGTTATTCCTACATATGCTGTTGGCGATACAACTGCCGCAATAGAATTCAATAGATTTTCAATTATTGGAACACACTTTCAGACCGGTTTCGGGCTGTTTGGCCACTCGTCAGTGCAAGGTAGTGTATATCATCAACATAAAGTCGATGATTTCCGATAATTGAAAATCGAATTCCGTCAGAGTATCATTCCTCGAACTAAGCTGAAGACTACAACAAACAACAGGTTTGTCGTCGCTCCATCTGCCTGTGAACGAGGTAACCAACTGCATATCCAAATTTGCCCAATTCCTCGTAAAAGGAAAGAAATCTTTCACGTATAGTCAGTGGGCATACTTGAAGACTGGCTATAAATCAAATCATCTATAAGAACAATTCGTTCAGGCCAGTCTCAACACCCTACACAGTAGGTTAATGGACTGACGCCTATCAGAAAACAACTACTCCCCTGGCTAATACCACGAAGGGAGTTGGATTATATCCGACAGGTGTCAGTGCAGGATTCTTCACTGAAGTTATTCCTGCACATGCTGTTGGCGATACATTTGCCGCAATAGATTTTCAATTATTGGAAACCGGTCTGCAAGTGTGTTCCAATAATTGAAAATCTATTGCGGCAGTTGTGGCGATACAACTGCATATGCAGGAATAACTTCAGTGAAGAATCCTGCACTGACACCTGTCGGATATAATCCAACGCCCTTCGTGATATTAGCCAGAGTAGTAGTTGTTTTCTGATAGGTGTCAGTCCATTGACCTACTGTGTAGGGTGTTGAGACTGGCCTGAACGAATTGTTCTTTTAGATGATTTGAAAACAATCATAAATGAACAAAACCAGAAATTGTGTTTCTATTTCATTGACCTTCATCAGGGAGTATATTTAGGTTTATTTGAACCTCATCAGTGCCTTGTAACCAAATAAAATAAACACTTGTTTATGAAAAGTAAATGTTCAAAATCGATAATATTTTTTGTGGGTCGTTTGGTGAAAGTTGTTCTTCTCTGTATCAAAACAAGATAACCCTTACTCTTCATGTCAAAGCTATTTTCCTGGTTTTTTGGCTGTGGTCTGCAAGTTTTTATGCCTGACGTTTAAACTACTACTGCAGTAGACATCTGCGACAGTTTTTGCATTGCACACAACTCGGGAACTTTAACAGTTTCCTCATCGCCTTTGACAATATCTACCGCAGTAGTAGACGAAATGTCAGCCATAAAAATCTGCAGACCACGGACAAAAAAAACGGAAAATAGCTTTGAAATAGTTATCTCCGGCCGTGTTTCTGTTTATTTTGGATAATTTGCGGACTCGAATAATCTGGTAGTTGTTCTGAGTAAAACCACACGGTTTGCTGCCATCCGCCATTCGCTAACTTCAGTTATAAACCTAAACGTAGGTAAAATCAGAATTCTATTCTTTCAATCCACCGTTATGTGAACGTCGGTTCGATTCTAACTGTAACCGTAACTTCTAACCCGTGTTAGAAATCGCTCACCGTCTATTGTGAGTGAAATTGTTAATAATAATAAAAGCTAAAGGAAATTCGCCCAAATGATCACAAAATTCAGATACATGACTGAAAAGATATAAAATAACGATGACAGTCTCTGAAATAGATACATATAGATAAACATTTTACGACCCAAGAAGAAGCAGCGAAGTACTTATATATTGAAACTTCTTAACAAAACTGTAAATGATGAAGTTATATGTGAGTATTCTATAACGGACTTATTTCCTTCTTCGATAAAGTTAAGATCTACATTTACTTGAACTGCATATTATTTCAACAATGGAATTACCTGAATTTGCTTAAAGGATGAATTACCCACGGGCACTTTATATTTAGCTGCCTCTGTTTTTCGTCTCGTAATGCCCTTTCACTTCGGAAATATTTAGAAGCTCCTGGATTATCTGGAGAAACAAGCACGATATTTCTTAATCGAGTCTTCAGTTTTTTGATGGCATTGGTAGTACTAATCAGTTTTGTAACACTGCAACTAGGCTCAATTTTGCAATCGTGTTCCATTTTGTAAGGGATTATATCTGTTGAACTTGACAATCAATACCTTTGTTTGACAATAGTTCACAATCTAATTGCTAAGAAACCGATATAGTCACTTGTGAAAATAAATTCATTGTGTGGTTTCTTTGGGAAGCAAAAACTCAACTCTGAAGTTACCTCCAGGAAGGGATGTTACCACGTCCTTTCATTGATTGATAATCTGAGTACCTCATGCCTCAATAATATACTTATATTGGAATCCTCATTACCATTCAGCAGTCTCTAACTTTCTAGCATTCTCTAACTCTTCCAAAAATGTATTGGATTCGGTAATCAAAGAAATGACTTATAGCTTTTATGTTGAATGAAATGCGAAGTAAATTCGAATAGCATTAAAACTAAATAGTTACGTAACCTCGGCAGTTTTCTTTGTGTGGCATGAGCGGCGTGGTATAATTACGAGGTCTAATCATTATTTTTATGGGAGGTTTTATATGGTATTAATTTGTGAATTAATTGTGAATCAGACCCGGTACATTAGTCTTTTATTTGGCTGTTAGGATTGACTTCGTATAGACTATAACTCTTCCTTTTTTTTGTATCTTGGGGGCTGTCTGACTTGTCCATTTAGTCCAAGTCTCCAGAAAACACTGCAGCCTCTTGGGCTTATTGCGTTTATTCTCCCATCTTCTCATGATACTCATTCCATCAGTCTCGTTCCCTGTACTAGTTTGTACAGGTTCCGTGTTGGATGTTCGTCATATTCTTCTGGGCGTAGTTTTGTACGTCCATATATAGCTTGCCTTCTGTGATTCAGTGCCTCACATTCGCATAAGATGTATAGAGCAGTTTCTATCCCTTCGTTGCATAATCTGCAGCTGAGGTCTCCGTTGTACAGCCCCATTTTATTCAGGTGTCCTCTAAGCGGACAATGACCGGTTAGTAACCCTGTAATTATTCTGAGCCGATCCCTACTATATTGAAGTAGTTCTTCAGTTCTTTTCTCGGACGGTTCCCTAATGAAGGTTCTACTGTGTTTGTTGCCAGGTACTTTTTTCCATTACTCTGTGTGCTTCTTATTGGTCCATGTCCTAAACTGGTTTCATACCAATGATTTTGGTATCCCCAGAGCTGATTCCGGACCTATATATGAAGTTGATGATCCGCGTCTAGCGCATTCATCAGCTTTATCATTACCTGTGATTCCTGAATGCCCTGGTACCCAGTACAAAGTTAATTTGTTCCTGTTTGCAAGTTTATTCAGTTCTTCATGGCATTCCTAGACCAGTTTTGATGTCACCTTCGGGTTTGTCAGAGCCCCTAGTGCGCACTTGCTGTCTGTGAAAATATTGATCCGCTCATTTCTTTGAGGTCTCAATTCAATAAGCCTTGCACACTGCAAGATAGCATACACTTCCACTTTAAAGACGGATGTGTATAGTCCTAGCGGATAGCTGTAGTTTAGATTTCTATCCGCTCGGTATATTCCAGCTCCCGTTCCATGTTTGGTCTTCGATCCATCTGTATACCAGGTGTTTTTTTCAAACATGTTTTCGGGACGACTAATGGTCTTCCACTCTTCACGGCTTATGATTTTAGGCCTTGAAGTTTGTGTTAAAGTTGTACTTCGGTGTCCTGTGGTCCGTGCACATATTCAATATGTGCTCCTCCGCTTGTTCCGAAATTTCTGTTCGCTCCGTTCTTTTGTAGTTCGGTGAGTTTTCCAGTCTGAATTGAATCATCCTGGCCTCCCCCATTATCACAAAGTGTAAAGGAGGTAGATTCAGGAGTGTCTCCAATGCAGCTGTTGGGGTAGTTCTCATTGCTCCCGTCATTCCCAAACATGTAAGTCTTTGCACCTTACCTAGTTTGTTGATGGCGGTCGCCTGCTTCATCTTTGGCCACCAGACCAGAGATGCGTATGTTATCATGGGTTTAACCACCATCGTGTATAGCCAATATACCATGTCTGGTTTTAGCCCCCATGTTTTTCCATAGGTGCGCCTGGCGAGCATCAGTGTTTCTGATGCTTTCCTCTTTATTCTGTCCAAGAGTTGGTTTCAGGTCAGTTTGGAATCTAGGATTACTCCCAGATATTTAACCTCCTCCGACACTTGTATTTCTTCACCTCGAAGTTTTAGAGGTCCGAGACACTCCGTTTTAGTCCTCTTGGTGAATGTTACTATGGTCGATTTGGATGGGCTTATGTTGAGCCCTTCTTCTTCGGTTCATCTTGTTATAATGTTCAGGGCCTGCTGCATGCATCCCATCACTACATTATTGTATTTACCCTGGACTAAGATGACTAAGTCGAGGGGATAGAACTCCCCCCTGAGGACAGCCCCTTGCTACCCGTGCCACGACTGTTTCCTCCATAATGGTTATATATACCAATCTTCCCCTAAGCATGCAGTCTATCCACCTACAGCTCGTCTTGTCGATCCCTTTTTTCCTCAACGCCTGGATGATTGATTCTAACGACGTATTATCAAATGCACCCTCAATGTCCAGTAGCAGCTAAAAGTACTTCCTTGTTTTTGTAAGTATATTCTACTTTCTCTGTTACCCGACATAGAGCCGTTTCTGTTGGCATACCTGATCTGAATGCATATTGGTTTCGATGTAATGGCCTGATAGCCAGTGATACGTCCCTGATATGCTTGTCAAGTAGCTTTTCTAGCGTTTTCAACGCAAACGACATGAGACTAATTGGTCTCAAAGCCTTCGCCGAGTCCTATTCGATTTTCCCAGGTTTCGGAATGAAGGTGGCCCTGATCAGTCTCCAAGTTTTTGGTATGTGTCCCAGTGCTAACTCTTCCTTAGAAATGAATTTTTATTTATTAAAATAATCTTGAACACATCCGTAAGCAAAATCATTCTTAAACCTATAAGATAAGCTGGAAATATCGTTGATTTTCGGAGTAGATTTGGGAGAATTGCAAATTTCATGCCTGGTTATAATGTAAGAAATTAATTTGTATACAAACTTCATTACTATCAGTGAGCGAATAGCAAACATTTTGAATATTCATTGGAATGAATGGTTCTTGAAACGAATTTGAAACTGATGATGATTTGGGAACGGTTAATTCGATTCATAAAAAAAATGGATAAAGATTACCTATCAATGGTGATGAAGTCATTCCAATTGGAACGGGGGTGAAATATCTTGGAATTGTCTTTGATAAAAAACTCACTTGGAACGCTCACTTGGAAAAAGTTTTGCACAAAGCCCAGACTGTCCCTATGGACATGTCGAAGGATTTGTGATAAAACTTAGGGTTTAGGTCCCAAACAAATCCATTGGATTTATGTGATAATTGTCAGACCAATAATCACTTACGGCCTGGCTAACAGAGACAGGCTTGTCTGACCATCAGTGAGGCCATCAGTACCATACTGTTATCAGCTATAGAGATCCTTCTAGATCTACCTCCTCTCCACATTTTTCTTGTGAGAGATGCTAGATGGACTACACGAATCAATTTAATGCAGAGTGCAACAGACTGTTGGTTGACACTGGACGTCACAGTATTCTGGAAATGACCTCTGACTTTATGCCTCCAACTGTCAACTACTAGATGCCTTATAAAGTACGGTTTTCGAGTAAAGAGGACTGGATCCTCAGGGAGAAGGAAATATTAAAAGCAGATAGTTGTTGGTTCACAGATGGATCAAAAACACCTTCTCGTTCTCGTTCAGGTGTTTTCAGTCGCAGACCCAGAACAGAGATATCAACCTGCCTAGGAACCTATGCGACTGTATTTCAAGCGGATATTTACGCTATTGAATCGTGTGCGGAGATATTGGAAGAATCCAACCTCATACACAAGTGAATAAAAATATTCTCGGACTGTAAAGCGGGGTTGGAAGCTTTTGGCTCCTACCGAGCAACATCTAAATTGCCGAAAACGACTCTCTTCGATAGGAAGACTTAACAGATTGTCTCTGGTCTGGATTACTGGCCATACTGGCCTTGAAGACAATGAGACTGCTGACACCCTTGCAAACGAGGGTGATTCAAGCATCTTCGTGGGACCAGAACCTGTCATTGGCATCGCTTTAGGCTTTGCCAAATACAGATCGAACTCCTGGATGACCAGAAGATTTATGGTCTTCTGGCAGAATATTCCAGGATTGGCTCACTCCAAGGCGTTTATTCACCCTTCGAAGTTTGATACCAAAAAGTTGTGGGACTACAGTAGATATCATTTACGATGTCTAACAGGTCATCTTACAGGACACTGTCATTTGAATCATCACACGCAGAGATTCGAACTGTCGGAAGACAGTGTGTGTGTCCCTGTTTGGAAAATGATGAAACAGCAGAGCACATACTTTGTGCCTGCCCCGCTGGGGACCGAGTCAGGTTTTAAGAGTTCGGCAGAGCCGTACCATACAAACTAATCGGCTTCGTTAAGAAGCTGGGTTTATTTGGTCGAGAATGAATAGGTGTGAGCCACAATAAACCGTTGCGGGTTACGGTGGAGGGTCGAATAGACCCACTTACTTTGGACCTAACCTAACCTAACCTAACCTAAACTATCAAACGAGATATAACAAGACCCTACTTTCCATTTGAAAAAAAGTTGATAGTGCCTTCTCAATGAAATTTAATGCAACACTAATATCGTTCTCATGAAAAAGTACTAAAAAATATTTTTTTCCGATCTTGATATATCTGCACTGTGTATAAAAGAGTGTAAAGAAAAATATCATGCTCCACTATATATCCTTCATCTCTCGTACACCAAGCTCAATCACTCAAAATGTATGCACCTCGATTATTTTCAAAATTTATTAAAAATATATTATTTCCATAAAATTCCTTGACATTTAAAAAGAAAACCTGAAACGCAGAAAAACCTCTTTTTTCTTTTTGGAAATTTCAACTTCAAAAGTTAGAATTTCGACTTTTATTTCGAAATTCAAATATTGAACTCGAAATTTCGAAGTAAATCCTGAAATTGAAGTCTGGATTTCAAGTTTCTAAAGTCGGAATATCAAACTTCAACCCATAATTTCGAATTTTAATTTTTTATCAAATGGTCAAAAAATACTCT